CAGCCCATTCCTGCCTCGTGTCTCCTGCCTCAGTGGGCTGCGCCCCGTTCCGAGCCCCCGCGACCCCTGCCTGGTTCCACCCCACGGCGGCCCCTGTCTCAGCCCATCCCCCCCACCTCGTGACCCCTCCCCCGGTGAGGCGCGCCCTACTCCGAGCTGCCGACAGTCCCTACCCCGTTACGCCCTCCGATCTCTGTCCCTGGCGCCCCGCTGACCTTGGGCGTCCCCGCCACTCGTGAGCACGGCCAGAGCTCGGCCTGCCCCCGCCCCGCATATCCGCAGTTGCTCCAGACCCCCCAACGCTGCCGCCGTGGGGCTCGCCATGATCTGACCCGGCCTGTCCAGGTGCGCGCTCAGCTCGCTTCTCTATTCGGTTCTTCGGCCCCTCTGGGTGCAGGTTGTGGCTGCCCCGCCCGCCAGCCCCAGATGGGAAGGGAGGAGCCTCCGCCTGTCCCGCCCCATCCTCCCCCCCCCCCCCAGAGAGAGGCCACGCTCCTGGAGGGGAGGGACCCGGGATCGGGCAGATACTTCCGAACACTCGGACTGGCCCCCGGGGGCTGGAGAGGCCCCTTAGGTTTTATCTTTTGGTTCAGCCCTCTCCTCTTTCTGCCGAGGGGGAAACTGAGGTCCCTCGGGCCAGGAACTCATCTTGGGCCACCACGCGGGAAGCTGAGGCCGAGCCAGGAACTGAAACTGGGTTTAGAAATGGGGGTTGATAAGGGCCCGGCTGGCAGGAGCTGCTTGCCCCCACCCACTTCACGTCCTGTAGGCCCGGAGCCTTTAGCCATACCTGGGTGAGGAGGGGGAGGTTTTTAAGGCAAACCTCTCCCTCCTCTAGGAGTCATCCCTGCGCCTGTCTCCTACAGTGTGCACTGTCCGTCCCCAGCCTCTGCAGACACCACAGTCCCTCACATGTCCATCTTCACACCCTTGCTGCAGAGGCTGCCCTCTCTGATCCGATCCTCTCCGCACTCCTCAGCTGCCACGGTAAGGCTCGGTACTCCCCTGCTCAGGAAACCCCAGGGCTCCCCAGTGCCTCTAGGATCTGGCACAGGCCGTCTCACCTAAGAAAGCTAAGAAAGGTACCCTGGCTTCTCCAGTGAGAGACAGAAATCTGGGCTGGGGGCCTGTGGGCCTGGGTGTGGCTCGGCTGGTCAGCCAGTTGGACTAACTCTAAAGGCACTTGGGAAGGTCCCCAAAGAAGGTGAGTCGGGCTGTGCCAGATCTACCAGGCACCGTGGGTGTCGTGGGGCACCACCTGCCGGGCACCACCTACCCGGAAAGCTGAGTCTGATCCCAGATGGAGACAGAGCCTCCTCTTCTTGAAATGTCTCCTTTGTATCTACTGTTCTCTCCTCTGATGTCATTGGCCACCATCTTCCTCTTTCTACCGGTCCCACATGAAGAGGTAGGGAGCCCTTCCCTCTCCCAGGAACCGTGGATGCCATCCCGCCTTCTTCAGCACATCCCCCCTCACTTACTTCACTTATCTATGGGGCATTCAGGAAGGACTCAACCTCTGGGGTGTGTGTGGGGGTGGGGTGCCTATTGGGCCCTTTTCAAGGCTACTCATCTACCTTTAGTGTCCACCTGTCCCCCAGCTTCCTTGTGGCTCCAAGAAGTGGAGCGTGAGCAGCGGCCACACCCTGGGCAGATGGGCTAAATCAGGCAGAGGGTCCACAGATGTGACCCAGACAAGTGTGGGCCAGTTAGGGACTGTGGAGACTTCCCCCAGCGGAACTGGCAGGTAAGAACAATTTGTTCCCAGGCCATGTAGGCAGCTGAAGCAGGCACTCAGAGTTTGGTCAAACATCAAGGCTGCCAAGGTCATCCTCTGCATCCTGAGCCATCACCCTTCATCCTGACTTTTGTCCCATCGCTGGACTGTGATGGCTCAAAGAGACAGAGGCTGCTCGTGTGCAGCTCTGCCCCCCGGAAATCATGACAAAGTCAAGACATCACCCTGTGATGTCATTGAGCCTCTTCCAAGAGGACAGATGAACAGACAGCTGCCTTCCTGCTCCCTACAAACATGCCCCGTTTCCTCTGGATCCTTCTATTTCCCCCTTCATCCCATCTCTCTCCTTTTCGGGGCAAAATCCCCTGAGGTAGCAGTCCTCCTGTGGACCGGCCTCCCCACCTCCTCCTCCTGTGGACCGGCCTCCCCGCCTCCCCCTCCTGTGGTCCAGCTTCTGACCTCAGCTCAAACTCCTCTCCCCTAGGTTACCTGGATCTGGCCTTTTCTCAGGACCTTCCTGTTTGGCCTCTCTGCAGCCTTGGACGCTGCTGACCACTGTCTCTCCTGGTCCTACCAGCTCCTCCTGAGTCTCCTTTGCTGCCTCCTCCATGAACCTCCAGACCCTAACTTCCTGTACCCAAAGCCATCCTGTTACTAATCTTTGTCCTCTCTGGATCTGGACAGTCAGGCAGCTTCAGGCCCCCTTCCCTCCTGCCCCACATTACCAATTACCTGGGAGGCTCCAGGGCCTCACTCCTCTCCTTCCCTCCATGCCCTCCATGAGCCAGCAGCAACATCTACCCACTATCCTTAGCCAGGAGAACACTCCACCTCCTGCTTCCCACCCTTTGCTGCAGGTTTCTCCCATTCACCATCCCCACATGCCTCCAGTACTTTCTGGGACCACTTTGTCATGTGCCCTCCTCCTATTCCCCCACTTGACAGTCTGCTCCTTGAGGGCAGGGCCTCAGTATTGGCCCTTGTTCATCTCCCAGGGCCTGGCATAAAGCAGGATCCCTTAACAGCCACCATGGATGGAGAGAGGTTGGGCCCGAAGAGAAAGCAGATTCCTTTGGGGCAATGACCCATTTCTTCCTGTCTTGTCTCCCCAGGACTTAGCCCAGGATATGGTGGCTTTAATGTAATTCAGCCACTTGAAACCTGACTGTTCAGGGCCCAAAAAAGAGGCAAGACACACATGTCCAAAGGGAGCAGAGTAGTACTGATTAGATCTTCGATTCCATTGGTGGGAGCAGCTCCTGATGGGGGAAATCCCTTTACCAACCCAGGTAGATGTCTTCCCACCTCTCTGTTTGCTTTACCACACTACAGTGGACAACTCACCAGGCTTGGAGTCAGGATGACCCGAGTTCAAATCCAGCTTCAGACATTTACTAGCTGTGTGACCCTAGATAAGCCGCTTCACCCTTTTTGCCTCGGTTTCCTTGTCTATAAAATGAGCTGGAGAAGGAAATGGCGAATCACTCCATATCTTTGCCAAGAAAACCCCAAATGGGGACACAAAGGAGCCGATACGACTAAACGGTAACACAGATGGAAATCCATGTGCCATGGGTATTCTGTGACCTCCCTCTCCCTGGGTGAGGTCAGGTACATCTCTCCCCTTGGATCCTAGGGGTATCTTTGAGAGGCTGGGGGTGTTTAATGCTATCTGCTGAAGCTCAGATTCCAGTGTGGTCCCCTCTATGGCTAGTGCATTAGTCCCAATTACACAATTAAAATGAATTCACTTTTACAAAGGCACAGGCGCTTTGATAGCCAGGACAGAACTAGGAACATTTCCCCCTGACACCTGGAGGCCTCCGTGAGCTCACAGAGCACTGGTCCAACCTAGGTTCTGTCCAAAGGCACCATCGTGGCTGCCTCAGCTACCAGTGGGCTGGGTGCTCGCTCCTCAGGGCATCGAGGCTGAGGCTGCAAAACCCATGGAGGACGGGGCTTCCAGACTCTCAGATTTGGGGACACTTGGAGGCTCACTCCCCTGACCTTTCCTGACTCATCAACTTGTGGCCTCCAACGGAAACAATAGAGGCACTCATTCAGAGCCCAGTTTTGAAATGTTTGGTGTGAGCCTTTACACTTTGGAAATGCACAAACTGCACGTGGTGCCTGATTTTTGGGTTGTCTTGTTCATTGTCTAGACAAAAGAATGAGATGGAGAAAATGTTCATGCTGATTCCACTGAAAAGAGTGGGACCCTCAATTCCCCTCCCCCCCAGCACAAGCAGCTCATTCTCTCGGGGTCATGGGGCCAGGGGATTGTCTGTGGTTTCACTGGGACTTGGATGCCAGAAAGAAGTCAGACCAGGGAGATGGAGCTAAGAGAGAAAGGAGGCCCACTTGACTTTGACATTCCTCTGTCCCCCCCCCCCCCCCATTCTTGGGCCTGCCCCCCCCCCTCCCCCCCCCCACCCCCAGCTCAGACTTCCCAGCTGCTCCCCTTTGTAACAAAAATACAGTCAGTCAGTCAGTCTACAGTCAATGGCTAGGCAATCCTACTGTACCTCCCTTATCAACTCATTATTCCAGTGTCCTCAGAGCGCCTTCCAATCCCTCCTCAAGCAACTCATGCTTCCCTCTTCCCCCTACTCTTTTGGCTGAGAACCCTAAGAACTCATTTGTTGGAAAAAATGGAGGCCATTGAGCCCGAGCCGCATCTTCCTCACCTCTCATCACTCAGGTGCTTTCTGCTCCTCTCTCCTCAAGCTGGGCATGGGGAGGGAGGGGGCTGCTGGGTGAGGGGGTAGGGATATTCCCAGGCTTCACCCAGCAAGTTGTTTTACATAACAAGAGAAAGCAAGCCAAAAAGCTTAGGAATCTCCAGAAAGAGTTAAGGATTTACAAAATAATTCGAGCAGAGGCTGACCTCAGGAAATTCATGGGCCTGGGAATTTCTATCAGCTTCGCTTAGGTGCTTGTACTCGGACCCCACTTCCAAGATCATATTCTCCCTAGCCTCAAAACACTATTCCTGACACTTTCCCTCCATCCCAAAGACCCTTTCTCTGGTAATAACTCATGAGTGGGCCCAGTGAGGCAAACTATCTCTCCCTGTTACAAGAACAAGCTGACCTCTGTAGAATTTCCCTTGTACTACCTAGTATCAACAAAACTATCATGTAGTAGTGCCCACAGTTACCATAGATAAGCCAGAGGTCAAGCTATAGAGTCAACTCCTGAAACTATCTTGTTACAGACATAACAGACCAAAACACCCTTTAAGAACCGCCCCCCCCCCCCGTTTTCAGTAGTAAATAACATAGCTGTATGTTATCACTTAATTAGCATACTTGGCACATAATTCACTACTTTTCCTATATAAGCTTTAGCATCATCCCTGTTAGTTGCAAGTTCCCTAAGGAGCTCTGCTCACCATGGGAGAATTCCTTAAGGACCTCTACCCGCTGTATAGTGTAACAATATATCTTAGACACCTTGACTTAAAGAATGCTTGAGTCTGTGAATTCATTCCAGACAACCCCATGCTGTACTGTTGTCTTTGAGGGATCTCTACACCTCTTGGACCTCAACACCCCTTACAACTTGGCTTTAGACCCATCATTCACCCAAACTGCCCTCCACAGTGACCAGTGAGCTCTTAGTGGCCAAGTCCAGTGGCCTTTTCTCTGTCCTCATTCTCCTTGGTGTCTGC